TTTTGTGTGGTCCCAGTTACCCTAGAAACAACAGTGCGCTCCAGGCTGGAATCCACTGACCATTTTTCAGAACATGTGTGAGGGTGGTATGATAAGCAGTCACTTGTGCTGGCTGTCCTGTGTCCATAAAGCCCCCTGCAGCAGCCCCCCAGGCCAGCTATTCCCCAGCAACCCTGCCAAATTGCTCAGCACCAAGTCACACATATTCTCTCTCTTCCAGCTCCCACGCGCTGCCCTTCTCCACCATAAGTTGATGATCCATTTCTTCTTCTTCTTCTTTTTTTTTTTTTTTTGTGGTCCACTCAGCCTACCCTAGGGGTGAGGCTGGCATGGCATGTGGTGCTTAGTATCAAACCACGGTCCCTGCACTTAGTCTAAGCTTGTCTAAGCAGGCGCTTTAGACCGCTGAGCTATCTTGCCAGCCCAGTGATCTCATTTCTTAGTCCAATAAGAAAACAGGATGACTCAACCACAGCTCCCCACACTTCCCACCATCACATTCTGGTGTCCCAGCCTTCACCAGCACTGCCTTCCTTTCTGTGGCTGGGGATGAACTGGCCTCACCCTGAATTTCTGTTCTCCACTCAAGGACTTCACTCCAGAAGATCTTGAGCTATCTTTGGGCTCTCTTCTCCTTTCTTTTTCCCTCCCCCTTTCCTTCCCTTCCTTTTCTTTTGTGGGACTGGAGATTAAACCTAAAGGTCCTCTACCACCATGTGACATTCTCAGCTCTCTTTGATCTTCTGATCCATAGTCAGACATGTTATCCATCCTGCCACTAGCCCACTCTCAGCTCTTTTTGAGGCTGGGTCTTGCCAAATTGCCAAGGCTGGCCTCAAGCTTTTGATCTTCCTTCCTCAGCCTCCTGAGTAGCTGGGATTACAAGCCTGTGCCACTGCATCTAGTTCATCACTCTTACAGACTTCTCAATGAGACCATTCCGACCCTGAGCTCTAATTTCTCCCATCACCACTTAGCCATTTCCCCATTTTCTCTTTCCCAACCACTCTTCTCCAATGAGGTCTTATGCTCTTTACCTCCTCTCCTCCAACCTCCTCTCAAATCTGCCCAACTATCATCCACCTTTCCCATCCCTCCACCCAGGACATTCATAACCTCCAGGTCCCAAAACATATAGGCCAATGACGTATGCTTCATTTCATGTGTCCCATAAGTGGCACTGGTGCAGCTAATTACTTCCGGCTTTTCAAGACATCCTCTTTCAACTGGCTTCCAAGATGTGGCATTTCCCCTCCTCCTTTCACTGGCTGCTGCTTCCTGGATTTCTTCACGGGATGGTCCTCATTTCCTCATCTTCCCAGTCGCTAGATCCTGGAGTGTGCCGGGTCTTAGACTTCAGCCCTCTTTGCCTTTTAGCCTCTCCACCTGTGCTCTCAGATGCTCCATGTTGATGACTCACAGATTTGTATCTATAGCCTGGACCTCTCTCCTGGATTCCACTTTCCCACATCTATCCACTTGGCTCGCTTACCCACATAGATGTCTGGTAGACACCTGACATTTATTGCATGCAAAACCAAATCCTGAGCTTTCTCCCATGTCTACTCCTCCTTGTGGCATTCCTCATTTCATGAAATGGAATCTATCTGTTAGCTGTTCAAACCCCAATCCAGAATTTTCTTGAACTTCTCTCATATTTCACAACTGAATAATCAACAAACCCTACCGTTTACTGTGAACTTGTATTCAGATCCTATTTATACCCATTATTCTTGTCCAAATCACTATCACCTTTCTTTTATCTATCTCAATAGACTCCTGCCTAGTTTCCCTGGTTCTGTTCTTTTTTCTTTCTTTCTTTTCTTTTTTTTTTTTGTGAAATCAGGAATTGAACTCAGGCCCTTGCGCTTACCAGGCAAGCGCTTATACTACTAAGGTATCTCACCGGCCCCCCTGGTTCTGTTCTTGTCTTTCTCTCCATCTAGCGAAGGAAATGATCCTTTATGATTCAAGTCCAGGTCATCTTCTTTCTCCGCAGAAACCTCTATAAGTATCCTCTCCTTTTGCTTAAATAAAACCCACTGGACATTCTGTTGGCATCATCTCCTGCTACTCTCCTTTCCAGCTTTTTTTTTTTTTTTTTTTGGTGGAACTGAGGATTGAACTCAGGCCCTTGTGCTTACCAGGCAAGCATTTATTCTACTGAGCTGTATCCCTGGCCCCTGAGCAGAGGTCTTATGGTTTAAACTTCATGACATCTGATGTTGAATTAATGGGCACTAATGATAATTCCAAAGAACTTGTCCAAGAGCAGAACTCCTTCCTCTTCACGGAGCGTCCTTGCACTTCTTGGCTCCTCCTGGTTTGGGCCTTCCTCTCAGCATCTACTGTCTTAACCTTTGTCAAATTTCACTGGATGTTAATTTTGCCTCACTATGTCTTGTTCAAGGAATCACAATTGAAATTCTGCCCACTGCTTTTCCAAAAGAACCACTGTATACAACACCAAAAGGACCAGTGTAGAGGGCAGGGGGGCACGAAAATGGAAGACTCCAGAACTGCTTTTTTTAGTGTCCTTTTTTCTTCATTTTTTTGTTTTCTACATACCTTATCTTTTCTTGATTTATTGTTTAAATCAGGGAATTCTAGAAATAAAGTTGATTAACTTTAAGGCCATGGTATAAAGTTATTGTCCCTGGAAGCTGTAGTGTGCATCACAGACAAAGCCCGGATTCTGGTGCAAAATACACATGTAATTATGCAGAGAAATAAAGTGTATCAGAAAATGCTGAGTAGCCCAGGTATGAGAAATACATTGACCTCTACTCAGATTACACACAGAGTGAAAGACCTGCATCTGTTTCCCATTGTAAACACCAACAGCGCTGGAGCAGCGCTACAACCCAGGAACACTCATTGCGAGGTTGCTGAGGCTGTCCGCAGCCTGACCTCTGTAGTGGTGCTTGATTTATCATTCTTATTTCATGTGATTCTGAATATATATTTTAAACAACCCACCTCTGTTGAAAACAAAATGCAATAACTCTCTTCCAGACTTATTCGAGCTCCTCAAGAGGTAAGATTTTTGTCTTACCCAAGCCATAGAGATATATGAGTACAGAACTGGACGTAGCCTTCCAGGTTCTAATTCAGCTGGTTCTAATTCAACATCTTTGACTTAGTAATGCAACCCCTATCACAGGTGCATTGGGTGCTTTCCATCTCTCCTTGCTGTCTATCCTTTAGAATTTCAGTCCAAAAGAAGCCAAGTCTTTAGATAAGCAAACTAATAGGAAGTTCCTATAGGCCTCTTCAGTATCTATCTGGGACCAGAAATAAGAGGACAAGATCAGAATGCAGCTGTATTCCTCCAACTCCACTCAGCAGGGCAGCCATGGCCTTCTTGAAAAGAAATGAATGTACACATCTTCATAAGGACGATCTCAAGCCTGCTATTTGGGAGAAAAATATTCATTAGTGCTAGTAAAATGCAGAAAGTTATTTTACCAATACATATTTCCAAAATTGTAAAAGCAGAATCGCCCATAAGCATGCAAGACATGACGGTGGTGTGTCCAGGGCAGGGCGACCAAGGATCCCTGTTCTGTCCTTGCTGCAGGATCAGGCAGAAACTTCAGAAGCTGAGTGTGTCCCAAGGGGCTGATCAGAACTCAGGATCCCAAAGCAACTCCTAGCTTTAAGCCTTCTCTTGTTTGAAAACCAAAAGGGCTGACAGAGGAAACCTCCTAGTGTGTTCTTTACCTGCACGGTAGTGGAGCTCTGCCGCGCTCCTAGGGGAAAAAAAAAAAAAAAAAAAAAAGCTCAGCACCTTCAGCCTGCATTGGGCCAACGCTGAGCTTTCCACACACATCCCTAATGGGCCTTTCAAAACTCTGCCCTCCAATGAAGGTGGTTGAAGCAACACTTTGGGCGATATCACAAGGCTCCCGGGGCGATGCTTCACTGCTTCCTCAGCATATGCCAGTGCCCATTTTACAGGGGGAATTTATGATCCTTCTCTCAGTAGAGAGAGCCAAAGTTTTATAATATTCATTAAAAATCAGCACCACATGTAGTAATACGGAATACTGCCTTACACAAGGGGGCCAAGTTATAGGTGTTTAGGGAAACATGGCAGAATTTCCTGGCCTTGGCAAGGGCTAGAGCTGCAGGCACCAGCACACCACTAACACACCTTAATTTATTGTGAATGTACATTCAGCCTAAGTTTTAATTGCTCACTTTAAAGCCCTAAGCACCACCAAGCTTCCTCCTGCGGGGCAGCCACATGATGGTCTTAAGGGGCAGCGACACTACCAGAGTGAAAGGCAGGAGAAAGTGGCTGCTGCGTAAAGGAGGTGGGGAAGGACAGACAGCTCCCTCTTTCCAAAACTCTAACAAGGGGTTAGAGGCTTGCGCAGTGGGGCAGGCCAGGGCACTGCATGAGAAGGATTCCAGCGCCAGCATCGTTCGTGGGTAGGGGGCAGCTCTCCCACCGCTTACTCCACGCCACAGAGGGTACGTGGGGCATCCTTTCTGTCTACCAGGGTCCGGATAGACAGCCTAGGAATCCCAGGTTCGGCGGTGTGTCCTCCCTCCCCGGGTGCAGTGCCTAGCCTCTGGCACCCTCCCTGTGTGCCACACCAGCCCTCTGCACCACGCTAACCCCATAGCCCGCAACCCGCGTCTGACAAGACCTGCAAGGCCAGGCCCAGGCGGGCGGTCAGTAGGGCTGGGAGCAGCGGGCCCTCCTGGCCGCGCGGCCGCACAAAGCGGGGAGACGGAAGGCGCGCCCCTCCCGCGATCAGCGGAGCGCGCGCCCGCCCCCGCCCCCAGCCGGTCCCCCAGCGCCGTTCGCGGAGCCGCTTACGCTAGTCGCCCGGCGTACGGCGCCCCAGCGGCCGGGGAGGTGCGCTGCCCGGCTCCCGTAAAGTTATTGTGAATGGGGAGCGGGTGACGTCAGCGCCGAATGTCAACAATGTAGCGATTGAGAGTGTGGGCGTTCCGGGGAGAGCGCGAGCCGTGCGGCGCGGAGCAAACACTGCCTCGCCGCCGCCGCCTCAGCTGCAGCGCGGCCGCGCACACCCGGCTGCGGTCGCAGCAGCGCCACGCGAGCCTCGCCGCCCGCCCGCCCGCCCGCCTGCCCGCTCCGCCACCACCGCGCTTTCTCCCGGGCTCCCTCGCCCCCGCCCCTCCCCCTCCCGCACACTGGGGGGCTGGGATCGCGCTGCCATGTGATGTGCGTCCCCTCCGCGAGCTCTCGGTGACCCCCGAACCGCCCACCGCGCCGGCTGCTGGGAGGGGGCTACGGGCTGGGAAGACGCGGCGCAGAGGAGGCGGAGAAGGACGCAAAGTTCCCGGGCGAGGTGAGTCCCGGGCCCGGGCGGGCGCCGAGCGGGGCGCGGGGCAAGTTTGCGGGGCGCGCGGGGGAGGCAGCCGCCGGCCCGGAGCCCTGCCCCAGCCACACATTCTCTAGGAACCCGGAGGGTGGGCGCGGAGCCGGCCGACGCGCGCGAGGGTGCGCTGCCCGCCCGGCTGTTTACGACGGGCGAGGCGGCATTGTATTTTGCTCGCGTCGACGGGTGTTTTGGAACAGCAGGGGGAGGAGGAGCGGAGGGTAATAAGTCAGGCGCGGAGGGCGGGCTGGGGGGAGGCGCGCGGCCGAGCCGGCGAGCAGCTGTCAGACCCGCGGCCCTGCCCCCGGCCCCCGCGCCAGGCCAGGCGGCCTCGCCCGCCCGAGCGCCCGCGCCCAGGGCTGCTCTGCCGAGACCGCGACCGCCGCGCCTCTGCGCTCCGCTGTCAGCCGCCGCCGGGTGGCCCGGACCGCCGGGACACTCGGGAATCGGCTCAAGTTTCGGATCTTAGGAGGCGGCGCTGGGGGCCTCCCGTGCAGACCCAGGTGGGCTGAACCCCTCCCGGCCCACGATCGGGCTGTCGGACAGCGCGCCGCGGAGCCCAGCTTAGGTGCCCGCGGCTTCCGAGAGGGACACCTGGCCCCCCTGCCCCCAGGGTCCCGCGTGAAGTCTAAGAGCCGCGCACCCATCCTACACCCTGGTCTCCGGCCCTCGGAGCCCCCAAGAGAGGACTATACCCGGGGGTTCTTCACTCGCCTACGCTGAGGTTCCCACGGCGCTGAGGCGCAGGTCCCTTGGCCGGTGGGTGCTGTGCCTCCCGGACAGGGCGGAGAGGGCGCTCCTGGGCTTCCCGGATGCCCGCGGGAGCGGATCGCCGAACATCTCTGCGACCTCGGTCTGGCCGAGGATTTGTAGGAACTTGGACCTCACTAGGAAGCTGGCAAGACCGGGAGTTTGTGTCTGGGCGGCCAAAGGACCTGGGCTCCGGGGGTCGTGGGTTGCGGGGACCCCAGTGTCTTCGCGCGGAGGCCAGTTTGGCAACTTGAGGGAAGTTCGGCGTTGCTGCTGCCTGGCTGGGTTTGAGGTGCGCCCCGCAGCTCCTACACCCGGTCACCGCTGGGGCCACGGGGGCCCAGGTGTCCCACGCCACCCACCCCAACCGAGACGGAGCTGCAGAGACTGCGCCCGCGGGTGGCCAGACGCCGCGTTCCTCGGTTTTCACCTTCGCTGTCTAGGGCTGCGGTCTCTCACTCTGTGTAAATTTCATCTGTTGAGTGTATTTAAGTAAAAAGGGTAATTACTTTAGATAAAAATCCTTTCCTGCCTAGTGGGAACCTTGGCAGAGACGATGCCTAATGAGATTTTTTGCTTTTGTCTGTTTAGAGTAAAATTAGAGATGTTAACTCTGATAACGGTTTTCTCAGATCATTAAAATGTAACATGTAAGAAAGGCTTGTCGCGCGGCGCAGGCTCTGGCTGACATGAAAGAGACTGAGCGTGAAGGGCCGCCCCTCCTCGGGAGAGGGCTATTTCTGTGCGACAGCGGGCGTCTTGCTTAAAATGTGAGATCGCCCCACCCTGGTACTCGGCAGCTCTCAAGAAAACGGCAGTTTTCATTCTTGTAAGGTAATAATAAACGTGAGTCAAAATGACATCTTGTTAGAATTAGGCTTTAGTCTGTAAGAGAGATTGCTAAATTACAGTGTTACATTCAAAGTGCTCCAATGAAAGGTCTGTCAGCATTTCCATTATAAATTCAGTTTTTTAGGAGTTTGTGATTTCACCACAAAACTTTGAGCGGCTGCAATGCATTTTTTTCTGTGTTCTGATCTTTTTTTTTTTTTTTTTTTTTTTTTTAATGCTTTGATTGTCCCATCTATCCTGTTTTCTAGTCCTGAAACTTCCATATCTTTCGAATGGGGGAGGGGTGGCAGGTGTCAGCAATGGAATACACAACCAGGGAATCAAGTACTTTGCTTTAGTATTTTCACATGGAAGTTTGGAAGGCATCAGGTTTGCCATTTGGTAATCATAAATGTGTTGAGTAAATTCTTCTGATATCTATTCTGCAGGTGGATTGAAATGTCACTTGGCAGCGTAGAAGCCGCGGTTACACGGAGAGATACATTTCCCTCGTGCATGTGTGTGTCCCGACTCATAGCTAAATTATGAACACCCTTGTTAGTTATTTCTCAATCTTTTGTATGTTGCGAGTCAGAATCTGCCGTGGAGAAGAGGGGTGAGGCAGAAAAGGAGGGAGTGACTAAGAAACCCTGATTCACTTTCAGTCTTACCAGTGCCTGGGAGGAAGCCATTTATTCTCTTTCTATTGAATTATGCCCTTTGACTCACTATCTTCAGGCAGTTCTCCTGCAGTCACTCACCTCTGGCTGCTGTGTGAGGGGCTTAATTATTTGCAAACTGCCTTGAAATCCCCAGATGAAAGACACTGAATAAGTGCAAAGTATTGTTATTCAGATATGGAATTTAATGATCCATTACAGTTCATCAGGAAAATGCACTTTGGAGTGATGGTAGGAAACGGTTCCACCTGATAGAGGGTAATAATAACTGCTTAAAAGTAGGTTCAGATTACAGATGAGACAATTAACTCTAGCCATGTGCTCTTCAATTTGTTGCAATTCATTTTGTGATCAAAGTGAGTCGCAGAGAGCCAGATGGTCAGGTTCTCGTTCAAATCTCTCCTAGGCCAGCCCCTCGCTCCTCAACCCACTGTCTGTACAGCCCAGCACTTGGTTATTCATTAGCACTTGTGAGCTGTTCCTCAGAATTTGTAATCGAGGCTCCTGTGATGCCAACAAAGGGACTCCGGCCAATCTGTATTGTTGGGAGCAGTTTAATTTTACTTGGATTAACTCTCCCTTAGTGTCTGTGGTGTAGATCCAACCTTAACAAGGAAGAGGGCCCATTGGCTCTTGAACTCCGCTATGCGCGGCTCCACTGATCTAAGCTTTGAACTCCAGCTTTCAGGGGTGGGGAAGGCTGTTACAAATCCTGGCTTGATTGTTGAATGAATGGGAGAATACTGGACTTAGGTAAATAAACATCTTGCTGTTAGGGCACTGATGGAGAATCTGTTAGAGCTTTCAGTGATAGCAAACAAGCCACTACGATGCGTGTGCCTTAGCTTCGCCACTCACGTGGGGTGGGGAGTTGACCGTAAGATCTACAGACAGCCCTCTCCTCTGCTCCACTCCAAAGGATCTCACCCCTGGTTTATGCTGGGCTGTTATTTCTATGAAATACTTAGTAATTCCTGTATAGTGCACCTCTCATTTGCATTTTTCACTGCATCCTATGGTACTTAGGTATCTGGCCCTGGTGAGGAGAGGGTAGGATGTGGAGTGGCAGGCAACCACTACGCCGCTTCACTCATTGTCTCCTGTTGCCAGACGGTAACTGGTGGGAATGCTGGCTTTGTGTTGCCATCGTGTTCAGCTTTCCCAAGCTGAATACCTAGAATTTTATGTAGAATTCCCCTATTAAAATTCTGCCTCAATTTTTTTAAATGTTGGATGAGAACATGTATAAAAGCTAGACCTGGAAACAGCTTGTCTTCTATTACTGAATATGAACAAAATGTCTTATTGTTTAATATTTATGTATTTAGCTATCTTCTAAAGGCTTGGCACATGCATAGTGGATGATTTGAGAGTGTGTACCAAAGGAATGCTAGCAACTCCCAATAAATTGAAAAGAAACAAAACTCTAAATCAAACCAAATCAATGCTGAGCCTCACTTGGGGACTGGTCCCTCTTTTTAACAGGGAATTCAACATGAAGGGCCAAATAATTAATACCATGAGCAGAGTGTTATCTGCCACAGGTAAATAATCTACTGCTTCTACTTTGCTGTTACTGGCCAGATGGCAACTTGGCTAATGCCTGAGACTGTCTGTGTGAGTTTTACATCTGAGAATGCCGTCTAAAGTAAAAGATTGGGGGCCAGGGAGATAGCTCAGTTGAATAAGCGCTTCCCAGGCAAGTGCAAGGGCCTGAGTTCAATCCCCAGTTCCGCAATTAATAAATAAATAAAATTTTAAAAAAGTAAAACATTGGATTTATTGAGTGTGCTCATGTGCCAGGCAATCCTAACTACCTTATCTGTATGTATCTCATTGATGCCTCAGAGCCATCCTATAAAGTAGGCATTGTGCCCATTCTGCAGAATTAGATGGTGTTGACCAGAACTTTGTCTGAATGTGACGTGTAAAGGTTGTTTCCCTGCCACATATACATCATCCAGCCTGGAGTCGATCATGGTAGTCAGCACTGCCTGGCAAGGTGAAGGACCATTATATATGGAGAATATAGTACCTGCCCTCATGTGCCGGAAACAGGGAACAATACAACATTGTATTTGTCCACATCAGCAATTTAAGCAACAAATTGCTCATGTGCCTCCCTGTTCTTGTTTTCTCCATCTGGATATTGAATAAGCTCCAGTGACATATGACCCTAGTGGAGGCACCCAAAGGTCAAAAGTTAGGGCTTGGTGCAGAAATTGGAATTTCTTAGGTAAGGCAGATCAAGAAACTTTCCACAGAGTGGGGTTTTCGTGTTAGGGAAGGCAGTGAGGCCCAGAGGGAGAAGAACTTGTATTATCTGTAACAATACATAGCCTGGGGGCCGGGGAGATGGCTCAGTAGAACAAGCACAGGGGCCTGAGTTCAATCCCCAGTTCCTCAAAAAAAAGGCTGCGCTGTTCTAGTTTTAAATTTTATGTCAATATTTACAAATTATTCAAGTCCAAATTGAAACTTACTATTGACTACACTCCTGTGTTTTGTTTTGTTTCTTTTTGGGGGGGGAGTTCTGGAAGATAGTAAAAAATTGTCAATTCAAGATCCTGCTTTGAATTTTTCCCCTCTTTTTCTCTCCCTTTTGTTAGTTTCGAATGTCAGTCTGCTCACAGCTGAAACTTAAATCGTACATCGGTGTGCTGCTTCCTTAGAGTGGGAACACTGCTCAGAATGTCACTGTCCTGTCAT